GATAGGGCAAGTTGAGGCGATGCTCATGGTCATGTACGATGGGAATGGTGTCCTCCTCAAGGAGAGCACTAGGTTAGTGGCCGTTAGGCACACGCGGATCGGACGCGACATGAGCTACAGTGCCGTCAGGCAAAGGTACACTCAAGAAGATGCACCTGACGGATCTCTGATGTACGAGATGCATTGGAATGAACTCCCCATGGTGGGGTACGTCGTCATGAAGTTCTCGGACTTTAGGAAGGCGGTTCAGCTCCAAAGGGTGAGGCGAAACGGAAAGGCCATGATCGAGATATTGATCACGAGGCCCGATGTGTACGAGACCATTGGGGATGGAAGGCAGGATGAGGGCCTGATCCCACTTGTGGGAACCATGGCGCCGAATGCCGAGGTATCGCCTTCGTGGTACGTCAGGGACAGGCTGCGGAACTACTCGGGTAGGTACGTGGTGGTGATGGTGGACCTTCGGGTGCACTGGTCCTTGGTTGGACCCGTGTTTTTGACGAGAAGGAAGACCCTCGCCGTTCGGAACGAGATCCACATGGGAGCTTGGAAGGCAGCATACATGTACGATGATTACACGATAGTGTACCATCGGGCATGGGACTATGGTGACTTCACCCCCGTTAGGGGAGAGCACAGGCGATCGCGTGAGGAGGTCAGGTTGAATGTGACCACCACGTTCTGTTTGAGGTGCGCGGAGATGACGCCAAATGGGATGCATTTGTGTCCTGGGTGTGCGCTCCCGGTCTTCTACCCGAACTTTATCCCCAACGCGGAGGAAAATGACTTCGAGAGGTGCCGCATCGTCCCGGAGTGGGTGAGGACCATGGGGCAGTTCAAGCCCAAGAGGATCCCCGCCGAAGTGGTCGGAGTCATCAAGAGGAACTTGATTTCCTATTCGATGGCGTCTGACCTGAGGATGACGGTGCAGAGCGGCATCAGACTGCCCCCTTATCTTGGTGAAGACAAGGGAGGAGTTGATACGGCGTGGGATGAGCTGGCGAAGGTGCTCTTCCAATTCTCCTATGTGTCGGGGATTTCGGCCTCGGATGCGTTCGTGGAGAAGTGGGTGGCGAAGCACCTGATTATGACCAATCAAGTCGATAGATTTGATTCGGTCACGGAGTACTTCCGAGCTAACCCGAGGCATGCTGCTCAGTGGGGTAGGCGTATGACGACTTCCGTTAGGAAGTTCGCTCGTCATGATACGTACTTATCCTTCTACATCCCGATGGCGTATGTGATTGGCTCCGCGGCGGGTCATCTGACTCCATTGTATCCGACCCATCGGAAGGACGTGGACATCCTGGCCAGTCATGCGTTGATCTCGCAACTCAGGGGGTACATGGTGTCGGAGACAGGGTACGATGAGAAGAAGAGATTGAAGGAGGCGATAGCCAAGGTGCAGAAGGCAATCAGTGCCGTCGGAGCCTCCCGCCCCCTTCCGTGACCCATTCGTCTACGTTAGTGACGAAAGGGTAAGGACGGTTCTTGATGGTCGTCAACCGGAGCCATTGGACGTGAACATCGAAGGGCTTCAATCGGTGCATCATGCTGCGCAGGGTGCTGGCCCTAAGCAGGAGCCGGTCGTCAAGGGCGGAAAAGAAAAAGGGAAGAAGGGGGAAAAGGGCGGTAAGGGCGGTAGCCCTTCCGGCCCACCACCAAAGTCAGGTGAAGTGCCAGGAAAAGGGTCTGGTAAGGGCGTTAGTCCGTCTGTCCCGCAGGCAAAAGCGAAGGCTGATGCTGGGCCGGCTCCGATGGAGGTTGATGCAACTGTGGCTCAACCGAAGAAGACTTGGGTCGCGATGGTGGTTGAAGGAGCCAGGCCGAGTGCAAAGGCCAAAATGACCCCGGTTCCAAAGGCCGAGCCAAAAGGGAAGGCCGCTTCTGTGTCTGAGGCGAAGAATGCTCCGGCTCCGAAGGCTGAGGCTAAGGAGACGAAGCAGGCCGAGCCGAGGGTTGAGGTCAAGAAGGAGAAGGTAGGCGGAGACGACGCTCCTGGCGGTAGTCGGGGGTCGGCTGAAGGGCAGAAGAGAGAAAGGAAGTCCCGTTGGGATCCCGATGAGACTGTGAAGGAGTCGACAAAGCGGGAGGCGTCGACAAGGCCTGATGACGTCGACAGCCGGCCAGGTGCGGCAGCGAGAGAAGCTAGTGGGGATGATCTTCACTCCGCGCTTGGCAGATCTTTGGCAAAGGACGCGGTAGCGCCTTTAACGGCATCCAAGGCGATGGCAAAGAAGCCCGAGGGCGGTGAGATTAGGTTGCAGTCGGCTGAGAGAACTGCGGCGAGTCCGGTGGAGGGTCACTTCCTGGTGCTGCCTGAGAGTTCGGTGGTGGATGCTCTCTTGGCGGTCTCCACCAACAGAGTGCTGAACAAGCACGTCAGAGATTTCATTAGAAATGGTGAAGACGCGTCTGCACTGGAGGCTCTCAACCAGATCGTGACGAACTCTCGCTCTGGAAGAAGACGTAGGGAATCGGATGTTTCCCGCACTCCTTCTCGAAGGTCCGTTAGGACCGTGGACACCAGGGATTCCAGAGAATCGAGAAGGCGCAGATATCGTCCGCGGCGCGAGGATGATCGCGACCGGAGGAGGGACGATGCTCGTGATCGTCGTGATGATGATTCACTAGATCGGGAGCGAGATCGAAGGCGAGATGATCGCAGGAGATCCGAAAGGGATCGTGATAGAGACCGCGCGCGGGGCGGACGTGACCGGAGGAGACGTGACGATAGCCGATAGGCTGAGTCACGAGGATTGCGGCCGATAGGCTTGCGTCCATTCTCCAATGGTCGGCGCGGCGCGGAGGTGGTGATGTTCCTCCCGGACCGCTGAGGCGCGGAGGTCATGTCTCTCCCGTACCGCTGCTGGGCTGCTGGTCGTGTTCATCAGGAAGCAGTGTGAGTGAGAGGGAAAGCAAACTGATGGGGGGTTACTCCCGGGTTTGCGGAATTCAAGCATTTTTCAGGTACGCATGGACAGGAGTACCTCTTGCCGTTAGGCGAGGGTGCTAAATGGACATACGTTATCTTCTTTTTCATGGCTTCTGATAAGAATTAAACTTCTTGCATTGTTGTTGCAAACTGTTGTGGCCTAGTGTCGTCACGTGGACTTTTCCACAGGGTATGTTGGACAGCGTTACCCCGATTAATTCGGGGTGGTGGCGGGAATTTAATGCCCGGGATGTCGCGCGACTGCCTTTGTGGGTTTGCTCCACTGCTGACGGCGGTAGTGTCCAGCTGTTTGCGGACGCATGCGAGCAGTTAAATCCTATCAGTAAATGGCACGCTCCACCCGTCATATGACGGGTTCCTCGTGAGGGGGGTGTGATTAGCCATGATTCATTTCATCAACAGGGATGTCGCGGTAGTGACTGACCTGTGATGTCTGGCTCAAGTTTTACGGGTTCCGTCGCGCCTCGGATGGGCGTCGCCGAGCCCCTGCGTCGACCGACGGCATCTCGGGGGAGAAAGAGACCTCGGGCCGCCGCCAGGTTGGTAGGGACCATTCGTGCGGCCTGTCGTCGATCAAGGTTGCGGGTTAACCCTTTTCTCTTTTGGTTGTTGTTCTCTGGTGTGTGGGAAACCCTGATCTTTGGGACCGGGGATTGGTTTGCTTTGGGGAACCTTTCTTTTGTGGCTTGTTTACCCCAACTTACCCATTGCCTGGGCACAGGCTCGTGCCCGAATCACATCTTCAAAAGAGTGGACGTGGTGGACCCGTGGAAGTTCTGCTTGCCCCAGGGTCCTGTGCATATTGTCTGTAGTAGGTCGCTGATCGGATGATGTTGCATGGAAAACCGTCATATATGCTTTCCAAAATACATTTTTAGCTGTAGGCTTGAGTAAGACTTGTGGCTATGTGACACATTAAATTATCAGTATGCATTTTCCTGACCACATCCTTCAATGCAGATCTTCCTGCGCTTTTGGCCAAGGTCTGGATTCAATTTCAGCAACAACCTTTCAGCAGATAGCTCGTCAAGATATCGACAGTCCGCATGATCCCCAACTTCAAAATAAAATGCATGCTCTGCAAAAGGGCATGGCCTGGAAAGGCTATAGAAAAAGTGCGGACAGGCAATGAAAAAGCACTAAAAATATAGGAGAACACGCGGGGCAACCTTCAGTTGAAATGTTGTGCTACGCGCAGTCTTCTCCGATTTGTTCCCGTGTGGTTGACACTCCTTTCATACATGGTTGAGGGCGCAAGTCATATTACCTCCTCGGCTGAATGCCTCTGTGCAAACAGAATGACAAGACACGGTGCATGCAAGGTCTCGCCAAAGCAACATGTTGCGCTTCTGTCTCAGCAATGCTATCTACTTCAGGCAGCTAGTTGCGGTTTTGAGCACTGGCGAGTTTGGCCAGCCAGATGAAACACAGTAGAACGTAAACATATCGCCTTTAATCATCTTACGGTTGAGCTACCTCAACCACACTTTAGACCGCCTTTGGAAGACCGGGGAAATTCCTAGGATCACTTGGAGAGCAGAAGTATGATAGTTGAAGTATTTAGGGCCAGGCGCAATGTATGCCTGCTTCCACCATACTTTTTAACGCCTTCGGAAGGCCAGGGAACAGATATATATATATATATACATATTGCTAGGTTTTAGTCGATTAAACAAACACATGATTGGGGGACCAATACTGGTTCACCTGCTTTCTAGGGTTCCCAATATTGGAGCTAGCTGTACCTATTGGTTTGCTATAGGTTTGTGTCAAAATACGGGGACCTGACAAAGGGTGTTTCGTTTGGTTTCAGGGAACAGAACAGTTTCGACAAACCATGCACCCATACCCGTCATACCCATATTGTGTTTCTGCAATGCTAGACTCCCAACAGGAAACCAGCCATTTTAGGGGACCGCTTCCCATATGCCATCTTGCTTTTTAGAAAAGGAGACCCCGGTTTTCTATTTGGTGTTGCTTGAAACCTGCCTCAAATAAAGTCACACCCATGTGCCGCCTGGTTGCGAACGGATTCATCCGGCAGGTGGATAAGATCCTGCGGAGGAACCAGCGCCGCTCTCCGCAACTGGGACCAGATGGGAAGATGTGTAGCTTGGGTGGCCCGAGCGACCCTTCCAGCCATTCGAGAACTCGGGAATACATAGGTGTGTCGTTTTTTGAGGGTGCCCCATGTTTTGCGGTTTTACAAACGGAAGACCACCATTTTTGGGGTCCCCCTAAAACAGAAATACACATCCCAAAGTCCCTCAAAACGGAGGGGAAACACGCACACCCACACTTACACATTTTGCCTTGGAGCCCCGTGCCTTGACACGTGGTGAGCGCCCGGCCCACTTCAACGGTTTTGGCCGTCCCCCATCGAACCACACACGCGTACGCGCACGCAGACAGACACAGACACCGCGCACACGTGCACGCACGCATCACGCAACGCATCAGCCTCGCACACACGCACGCACACGCATACGCACACGCGCACGCACACACGCACAGACAGACAGACAGACAGACAGACAGACAGAGACACAGACGCAGACATAGACACAGACACAGGCACAGACACAGAAACAGACACAGACACACACAGAGACACACACACAAGGAATGGCAATATGCGCGTTGGTTTGCTTTTGTGTGTTTTTGGAACCATGCCTTGGGTTGGTTTTCAATTGACCGGGGCTCAATGAGAAACTGACGCCCATTCTGGTTCCATCTCCCAGAGACAACCCCAGATTCATGCATACGGCTTGTCGAGGTCTGCTGAGCGGGTGCCAAGCCCTCCTCGGAACGACTTCCCGCGAGAGCCTTTGAGGCGCAATCCGAGCCGAGAACGGTGCCAGCGCCTGGGCCGCGTGGGAAGTTAGAGTGTGCTCGGGTGTGGACCCGGCAATCTGTAGATTTCCAGTTGAGCGGTTACCACACTATGAAACGAGTCGTGCGGGTGATTCCATGTCGGGTGACTTGCTGTGCCCTCATTGATGTGGATCCCATGTTGGTTGCCTGGATTTGTGTTTGGTCCGCGAAGGCTGCCTGGTGGTCGGACCCGTGGGGAGCTTGGGAATGTGAGTCTCAGACCAAAAGGGTAAAACATGTGAGCCACAATTCTTCAGCCCGGGAAAGTGAAGGAGAGTAAGGGACACTCCCAACCATAGGTGTGGCCGTGGTAACTCTTTACATGGTTTATGTTTACCATCGTTGCAGTAGGTATTGATTATGGCTGTGTCAACAGTTTCGTTGGGCTTCCATTCACCTGTGACCGGGTCGGAATGTTGGGAATCGACTGGATGGAAGTGGCCTGCCAGACGGGCTGGGCCAGATTTCAGGCCCACCAGGGCCTGGCAAAAATTAACGAGATACCTCCTTATGGTGGTTTCGACATGTTCTAACCCGGAGTCAACCCCATCAGAGTGGTTATATAAACATAGGACCTCGGAGCAAAATATGCCTTTGCTGGCCGCGGGATGGTTTCTTTTTTTGTTTGACAATGTGTCAGGATCTGATCGTCCAGGCTCCCCCGAGAATCATAGAAGCCAATCAACTTTCTTTTGTTGGGATGTGATTCTCTTGACGAGCCTTCCAGGGGCCCTTTCCAATTCTAGCGCCGCAATTGCTTCAGAACCTGGCAAGTCCAACCCTGAAGTGGGTAGGTAAACCCTACGTTTACTATCTCCTACAAAACCTTAGGGGCTGGCCCGCTGCAAATTAGTGTGGAACACAAAACAGGCTACACTGGCGCGATTGCAAAAAATGAGACTTTGCAACATGCCCATTTGCTGCTAGGGGAGTTGTGATGATTGTTTGGTCTGAGCGTGAAGTCATCCTGCTTCTTGCACAGAGATACAGCGTCAGAGAGCACAGAAGACTTGATCCTCGCTGTGATTACGCATGACATTATTTGATGCTACACAGAGTCGCGCAGCGATTTTACACATGAGATACATGCGTGAGGTATTCTTGTGTGCGCTCGCAATGAGACGGCGCAAGAGTTCGCGCACACAGTAAACGGTAACCTCTTCAGGCAGCACCAAGCGTTCTGCAAAATCGCTTTGCCATATTTGGGCCTGGGTTGGCTTGAATCCCTTCTGGTCCACTCCAGCTCAAACATCGCAACTGTTCACCACAAAAGTACGCGGCAGCAGAGAGGCTTGCACCAAGATGCTGGAGCCGAGTTTCCAGAAACTTGCCGAACTTGTGCATACAAAATTTCACGGGGAAGCTTACACCGAGAGCTTGCGCGCAGAAACTTGCAGAGAACTTGCGCGGGAAAACTAGAGAAATGTGCACCGAGAACTTGCCCAGAGAAACCCAGAGAAACTTGAGCAGAGAGTTATGAAACTTCAATGCTCTCGCGTAGAGAAACAGACAGACAAACAGACAGACAGACAGACAGAGACAGACAGACAGACAGACAAACAAACAGACAGACAGAGACAGACAGAGACAGACAGACAGACAGACAGAGACAGACAGACAGACACAGACAGACACAGACAGACAGAGACAGACAGAGACAGACAGAGACAGACAGAGACAGACAGAGACAGACAGAGACAGACAGAGACAGACAGAGACAGACAGAGACAGACAGAGACAGACAGAGACAGACAGAGACAGACAGAGACAGACAGAGACAGACAGAGACAGACAGAGACAGACAGAGACAGACAGACAGACAGAGACAGACAGACAGAGACAAACAGAGACAGACAGAGAGAGACAGAGAGAGACAGAGAGAGACAGACAGACAGACAGACAGACAGACAGACAGACAGACGGACGGACGGACGGACAGACAGACAGACAGACAGACAGATCACACACACACATGTGTTTCGCAGAAAGCCTGCGGAAAACCTTGCCCAGAAGGATTGACTTGCACGGAGAATCTTGCGTAGGCACGATCATGCTCATGTTTTGTTCGGGGTGCTTGTGCGACTTTGTCCAAGACTTGATATAGTATGCTTTCTGGCCACCCGTAGTCTATTTATTTGTCAGGGCAACCTTAAGGAAGAGGAAGCAGCTACTACATGGCAGGTCTTTGGTGAAGCCCTTCATAACTTGTGCCTTTGGCTACCACACCGCGTGGCTGTTCAAGAGGAAACATCTTTCCAAAGGGCCCTGGGAGCTTCCATGTTAGCCCGAAGATTCCATGGTACTTTCAGTTGGGCCTGCTTCCAGCCAAGGCGAGATGAGGCTCGCAGCCCACGCGACAGTTTTCGAGACGACCGTGGCCGCGACCGCCAAGGCCTTCACGACTTGTCCGGCCCCCGTAACCGCGACCGTGATGGCCCGCCACGCGAGCGCGACGGCCGCGACGGCTACCCGCCTCGCGAGAGCTACCGCAGCCCGCCGCGGGACGGCTACCGCAGTCCGCCACGGGATGGCTACAGCGGCCCGCCACGGGATGGCTACAGCGGCCCGCCACGAGATGGCTACCGCAGCCCGCCTCGTGATGGCTACCGCAGCCCGCCTCGTGATGGCTACCGCAGCCCGCCACGTGATTACCGCAGCCCGCCCCGGGACGGCTACCGCAGCCCGCCGCGAGATGGCTACCGCAGCCCGCCACGGGACGAGCGGTACCGCGACCGGGGTGACTCGTTTCGCGAGCGGAACGATCGTGAGCCTTTGCGCCGGTCGCGAAGTCCACGGGCACGGAGACGGGGCTGGGAAGCCTGGCGGCAGGAAGTAATGTTGAGCTTGGAGTAGACAACCAACCTGTGTTCCCCCCCCCCGCGAAGGATTCCCTCTTCAAGGGGAAGCCCTCTTTGAAAACCAAGGGTTTACCAATTCTGGGAATCCCCACCAAGGAGTCTCTATATACTGTATATATATATATATGTATATAGCTTTCTTCGCTGGGAATCGGATGCTAAGCCCCGGATTGTGCAAGGAGCGAGTCCTTGAAGGAGGATAATGGTAGACATGTCAGCCGCAAATACCATCAGCAAGGGGCAGAACATCGCTGGAAGGGGTGTCTACACTGCCCGACCCCAGTTGACCAGTGGTTCCATTGGCTACCTTTTGAATCCAAAAATATTGCCCTTCTTTACCATGGTTTTCGGGCGTTTGAGAATAAAGATCTAGTCGATCATATAACTTAATTATAAGTCAGGTCAAGCGACTTTTTCGGGTTCCCCGGACAGGTGCTCGGATGTTCGGCCAATTTAGTACGTGGCTGGCCACTTGGGAATTTCTCCGCTAGCAACAGGGTCAACCCCACAGCCGAACGCCCAAATGGGAATCTGTTGTAAGCCTTTTAGGCCACAATCCAGGGTACCGTTAAACATAATTCAGAGGGGTGTTTTTCTTGGGTCCCTGTACCTATCTCTGAAACTCAAAAAGGGGATCCCCCAGAAAGGGCGGGGATTTGGGGCTTCCAAATCTGCCGAAATGCAGTACACGGGCCTAGGTTGTATTTAAACCGAATTTGAAATCATCATATGAGCAAACAGTTAGTTGTTCCTTTTTGCTCTCAAACAACCCTGGATTCTCCCTTGCCTGGCGGCTTGTTTAGCTGCAGCGGGCCATTTGAACTTTCCCCACTAGGGACCGGAAATCAGCTGAAGTCTGAGGGCAGCATCCCCCGGTCTCAGAGATGAAAAGCATGCCCTTTCAGGTCAGTTTCCCAGTGAATGTGGAGGGTCCCAGCCACCAATGGAATCGAGCCGCAAAAGGTTTCCAATTTCTTGTACCAGGGTCACTGGGCAAGGGTTTGGTTTCACTTGGATGGTACTTGTTCTAGCGTGGTTCTCATCATTTCCCAGCGTATAATCCATGCTAAGTCCAAAAGGACACCTTCTTGGGTGTTTGGCCAAGTTAATAGGTTGTTGGCAACCTGAGTTATAACTCTGAAGTGAACTGTGTCATTTGTGGTTGCAACCAGATTTGCCAGCCGCTTATCAAGTTAGCCGGACATTGAAGTAGACTGACACCCCTTCCTGAATCTGTTTAACAAGGACGCCATGGTTCACCAGTTATGTATACATCTCTTCATGCTATCGATCCGGCCAATCATATTGAGCTCCTGGGGGCAAATCAAGCAGACTAAAATATTCAGGGTAGCTCCAAGCCGTGCCCAAAGGATGATCACACGCTCAAAGATAGAACATTGGCAAACGGCCTTCTGGTTTCCCTTTTACCAGGGGACCACACATGTATCCGGTGAATGGGACCAACCGTGTCTTGCGTGTGTTCCACGCGTTGCTGAGGAGTGACCAGTCCCACGCACGGATCGCCTCGAGATCGAGTGTTCGGCTTCTGGAGAAAGAGCGAGCGTGTGAACGGGCTACCCTACAAAAAGCGGGGCTAGCTCCGCTTAGGACTTTCAGTGGGCGACAAGTTATGAAACACTTACTCTCTTGGCTGACCCAAGTAGTCGCACCGGTGACGCAGGAGTGAAGGACTTGTGAACCCTAAGGGTCCTGGCAAGGCATCCCAAGGACGACCCCAACTTGGGCTCCAAGACCTTGGCGTTCAGCACCGTTCAAACAGGATCAGTCCTCTTCAGATGGTCGCCAGTGCTGAGAATTCGGGTGGTACCACCCTTTGCTCCTTTGCACATGAGCCTTGGGCCTGACGAATTCGTTACTTTTTTCATTTGGACTTTGCGGCGGTGGATAATATGTTGTGGTGGGAATGTGTGCTATCGTTGCCACGCTCTTGGGGTTGATCATAGTTCTCTACTTGATGCCACCTTTTGCTGGAATCTGGCACCAGTTACCTGTGTATGTCGCAAACATAGGGATGCCACTATTGCCCAGTTTCCTTTTGGTTTCCCTCAAGACAGAAAAGGTACCCTCAAAAAGCCGATATGACCACAGGGCCAGGGTGGTGGCCCCACCGGGGGTTTATCGCCACTTTATGGGGAATCCCCAATGTCAAGGGGCACTCCGTAAGCAGAGCCTCTTTGGTATGAAGGAAAATGCGGCGAGTGTCAGCCATTCTTCAAAGGCATGGCAGGTTGCTTGGGGGCGAGGTCAAGACCCATAGCTGATGTCCGGGATCCCCATGAAAAAATCATCAGTCTTGGGCGGGTTGACCTGAGGTATACAACCTTACACAAGCTCCACACCTCCAAGCCACCTCAACATGGCCTGAATCTTCGCCCACCATCAAAGCTCCCATGGCCCCCTCAAAAGCTAGATCTGTGTCCCTGTCTCCAAAAAAACGAAAAACGATGAGGAGCTCTTTGAAACATGTTGGCAGGGTTTCACGTTCTACTCAAGGCCCAAAGAAGTGTTCGGATTTGCACCTTCCAAGCCTTCCAGTCAACTCAACATGTCAGGAGATGCTCCTGCAACACCCTTTGGCTTAACTAGGTCCCCTAGTAGTGCCCTTTTACCCGTTTTTAGGGGAGGGTTCCCCTAAACTAGACTACAGAACAAGTTGGTACCAACTTATTCCAACCTCTCAAATCTGGAGGACCCAGTGAACCTTTGGCCTTCGCGTCTCCAGTTTGAAACTTTCCACACGATCGCCAGGCGCCGGAAAGTCGGGAACTGAGAAGTTAGGTTTTTTTGCAGCTGAAAGCTGCGAACACCGGCAACAAGCTGAGAGGTGGTTGGGTTGAAGTTGGGTTTGTAAGCTTATGAGGCCCCTACTTACAAGCGGTGGGCAAGCAATGGAGGGCCCCTCCAGAAGAACACAAGTACAGTATTTTAGGGCTGAACTATCTTCAGGGTGGCTAAGCATTAGAAAGCAGAGTCTGAGTACACGTTTGCTGCTGCACCCCGGAGTTCACCAAGCTCGATGATCTCGGATCCGCTGTCAGAGACCAAATCGAGGCCTCTCAGCCCCATCTGAACGAACCCAAATCAGAACCTAAGAACCTTCTGCCGGACCATGGGCTGTCCTTCGCTTTTCTCCGTTTGGTGTAAGTTTCACCAGGACCCCGGCCAACAGGCAAACGCTGCCCTCTTTTCCCATGACCACTGGAGGTCATCCAGATGATCCAAGTATCCCTCAGATTTGTTTCTCCAGCCAGCATGTGTTAAGAGGCATTACCCTCCCTCCAACAATCATGGAAGTTGACAGGAGAGCTTTGGAAGACTATTTTCCTTTTGGGGAGCCCCTTTGTGCACTTCCATGATTGTTGGAAAGAGGGTAAACAGAAAAAAAAAGAAAAACAACACATGCGTCCCAGACAGATTCTCAGAGTCCTTGGAAGAACCCGTGAGGTTTAGAGGGTTTGGTCTGCAGCACTGGCCGTCAACCACGCGGAAGCGCCGGGGGAAAATCGCTGTTGGCAGTTTGGAGCGTTGTCCAAGACTACACTCTACACGGACTCGCGGCTTCGGCGAGGGCGCCTGCTCAGATACTATGATGAACACTTGACAAACCCCGCTGCAGCAAGTGTCGGGTCTGATGAACCCTTTAGACAGCCTGCATTTTGGAAAGACAGTCAGGGCTATGTATCAAAAGGGACTTTTTCCGACACAAGCAGAAGCCACGTATAAGCCCTGGTTGTTTGTTGGGGGGGTTTTGCCCCATACATGAACCAGCAAAAACGAGCAAAGCCATTTTTCCCATGAGAGAGCACTGGGCAAGTAGTTGCTGGCCGATCTTTGACTCATGTTGTTGCAGGTCGGTTCGACCAACCATGTTGAGGGAGGCCTTTGACTGATGGCCTTTGCTGCTTTGTAGCCACAAACTCTCCGCTCATTGTCGCTCATTTTTCCGCCTATGGCAAACTCACCCAGGGCTAAAAAGAGCTCACCATGAGCTAGGTGCTTTTGGGATTACTGTCACTAAGGAAAATTGCAGTTTTTCTCGTCACTGGACTCACGGTACGGGCATCAGGCTGGGTGGGACAACTTAAATTTCCGTGAGATCGGAGCAAGGCTTGGCGGCCTGCGCAACGAGTCAGCTGCCGTGAAAGTACCGCCGGATGACGAGGACGAAGACGAGGACAGCACCAATTGGAAGAAATGGGTGATTGCGTTTAAGGGTACTCGCTTTGGGGTTGGTTTAAAGGAAAAACAACAGGAAAGCCACCGGTGCCTGGCTCCTTTGCTCCTTCGCTCCTTCGCCGGTTCGCTCGTTTGGCTCCTCAGTGAATCTGAATCTTCCCAGGATGAGAGCGAGGACGAAACGAAGGCTGGCGTTGTGCTTGTGATGCTCGTGGCTCCCAGACTGTTCTGACACTAAACAGCAAAACCAAAGGGCCCTGCTTCCTGCGTAAACTTCCCAAAAGGAGTGACAGCAAACAAACCATGGGACCATGTTAACGTTATTTGCTGGACACCTGTCATGCACCAGTGTCAGCAAGACACAAGACACTATATGAAAAGCAATAGCAGGCTGGCCGACGACAGAGTGTCCGGGTGCTGATAGCCCATAAATATATAACGTTTGATTTTCCCAACAGGAAACCACAAGGGGGAAATTAGTTTTGTTTGTTTGTTGTCCCGACCCCTGTGTAACGTTCCGTTATTGTAGCTGGGGAATGACCCGAGCAACTTGCGGCTTTGCTCACAGCCGATCATGCCGCCTCTTCCCTTCAGGAGCAGAAGCAAGCGGCTGAGGTGCAATCAATGACAGTAGAGTGGACAAGTCTCAGCGGTGACGGTTGCATAATATGCAACCGTCGGCGCTGAGACTTGTCCACCCTACAGTCATTGATATCACCCATACTATGATTTTGCTGTCACTGCAAAGACAGTTCGTTGTTTGGGGGGGAGGTAGGCATGTCAATAGCAAGCGACAAGTGTTAGGAGCGCCGCTTTGTACTGTTCTGCTTGCTTCGTCAGGCTTTAAGCCCAAAACGAAGCCACGGATCACGGCTGTGAACATGGTTGCAGGGCAACTTTCTGTAATACCAAGGGAATCCCGTTCTAGGTGATACCATGAGCATGCCTCATCTTGACCCAGCAAGGGAAGGACCCCGAGAAAAACCCATCCATTTCCTGTGGTGGCCTTTCATTTTTTTTCTGGTTCATTCCCAACAAGGGCGTTCCCTACTCACCAGCAAGTCATGTTGGTGCAGACATGTTGAGTCTACAAACATGCCACAGCTTGCAAGTTAGGTATGTACTCAGAATGCCCAGCTCGAGAACGCCCCGCATGAACACAGTGCAGTTGCTGCGCCCTTCAAAACGTCGATGCTGTTCAAGGTGTGTGCAAGACGTGGCATTGAGAAGTGTCTTTCCAAAAATAAACAGAAACAAAAGACCAGCACCGCCCCTTCCCCCCAACTACTGGTTTTGGACAGTACGTGAGATTTTGGACATGGGAAAATTCAGTTGTTTGGGGGGGGGAAGGACGGCTTTGGCACCCTCGACCTGATGGGTTGCGCGCAGGCTTTGCAGCCCCCGGGAAAGAAGCACGGTGCGCCCTGAAGGGAAGGGCGGGAGGGATGTCTCTCACAAAGTTCGCGCCTGATGGGCCCAAAATCAACGTTGGAGCTTTTGGGGAGTATGTTTGGAATGCTTTGTTGCACATGTTTGTTTAGTTTTTTCTTTTTTTAGGGGGGTGCAAGTTCACCTCCCCGCGCAGGGAAGCCTATTGCCGGAGAACACACATGCCTTTCTTTTAGACGGGTCCAGTCCTGCTCTCCGAGGTATGGCACCAACTCATCCTGAAACAAGAAGCAATCTCTGGTCGAGACAGGGGTCTCCGAACCATGAGGATGTTGCAACCGGTGGGTCCCAGACACGTTCCCGCATTTCCGTGTTTCCGTTGGCTTGCCTTTGTGTTGTGCGTGATGATTTCTCTTCAAATCTGAAGATTGACATGGAGGTGTACCTTTTTTTGGGGAAAGGCTTTGAACATCACTGGGGATTTTGGACATGGGACAATCAGTTGCTCGGGGCTGGAACTAGTCAGGTTGTTTTCCAAAAGTTTGATTCCACCCATCCTGTTGGGAAGCTACGGGTTGTTTTGGGCAGCTTTCCTGTCGAGGGATCCCGGGCCATGACAGGAGCAACAAACAATATTACGTGCATGTAAGGGTCTAAATGAATCACATTTCGTGGGGTAACTTACAACAACATTTCGTCATCATGTAGACTGTAGCAATTATTTTGTCCCTTGTACGATGTTGTTTCCCGAGAGGCCATGAGAAAGGTGGGTTGTCCCCGCGGTGATGGGCAATTTGAGGCCCCGAAATCAACGTTAGGCTACCAAGCATATGGGTCTGAGTCAACTTGCGGGGAACCCCTAAAATAGATTTCGGTTTTCCTATTGGTTTTCGACCAAGGTGAAAAGGGTAGCCTCAAAAACACACATCTTGTCAGCTGCTAACGCTCTTTGAACCGTTTTATACGT